CTGCGCAAAAAACCGGGTACATTAATTGTTCAGTCTTGGATTTAGGTTAGTTAGGAACAGAAGGCACAACGTGATCCCCATATTTTTCCTTTGTTCTTTACTGAAAAATGCAGGTTCTACTGCCCCCGCCACTACGATACATATACATACGAGAGCAGCTCATAGTGCCTCTGTAGCTGCGTTACCGCCTGCCTGTGCCGGCAACTAGAAAACTTAAAAAATTCGTCGATAGCAGTCACTAAGCCCAAGAATGGTAGCCAGGGAACAACCTCTTACGAACATGACGATTTCGATATTTAATTGCATCTTATGCGTTGTCATCATAGTAGAGAAGATCATGATTTTCGCTAGCAAATCATAGTCGTGTACATCAAATTTGCCAGTTATTTTGGAAATAACACTAGCTACAAAAGAACCGGGCATGAAATGATGATAATTAATCTACGATAGTTGCCTTCCATTTTGACGCTACGAAGTCGTATGCTCAGTTTATCGAATTCACATACATAACGAACATGTTTAACCCACTTTTCTATTTACAAATTTACATAAGCGTACGACTGATTGTTCGTACTGAAACCTGGTGGTCTGAGACAGAGGACGCCCAGTTAGAGATGCCACAATTTAGAGTGCAAATACAAAAACGATAAGCTACGTTTATAAGACAAAACATTAAGGTTAAAGCTAGAGTGTATTATTTATTAGAATAACTATAATAAAGAACCTATTATGTTCATGTAATCAGACTCGAAACGGGTGCAGGAATACAGGATATGATACCTACGGGTGTTGTTTATAAAAATTGTATGTGTGTCGTTTATGAGACCAACAGCAGCAACAATCCCTGCCCAATAGTGCCCCGAGCTTTACGTTTAGTGCTTTCGCAAAACACTACTACAAGCGGCTGGCCTTTAAGGAGAAATAAGCCGTGCCTAGGCCAGGTTTTGAGTCCAAACATCCCGCCTCATCTGATTTCGTATCTATAAGCTGACAGGTAAGTTACCAGCGAATTATCAGATCTAGAGCGACTCCTTCCTAGTCTTTTTCAGTAGTCGATTTAACCGTCCAAACCACCGCATCGATGCAAATATAGTTACTAGAAACTAAATAGAGTATACCTATGGTTAAACAAAACAGAATCTATGCACAGAAATACGTTAGAGTATCTCATAGGTGGCAAATCGACAGTGTTTAATGAAGAACACAACACCTATGGATAGTTAGCATCCTATTGACAATTAGCAAACATACTACTCTATGTATTGCAGTGAATACTATTGTTTTTACTAATAACATTTTCGTATGTATTTTACTTGCAGAGAAAAGACATCGACTCTCTTCATTTCAAGCGCTTCGTCGTTGGCAGGACTTCATCATCGCCATCGTCGTTGCGCTTCATTAGCGTCCAGCGATAGCTGTATGCTTATACGAATAGCCACTGGAAGATGCAGTAGGTATAAGTCATTACGGCACCTAATTCTTCCGACGATCCACACATCGATCGCGCTACTGCTACCAGAATTCTGTCGGAAAAAAAAACAAATAATCGTACAACAACAGCAGCAGTGATTTTGAACGTCGAATTTTCACTGTGTTCCCACACAAGTTACCATCTACTAACGAATTTGCAATTATTCCTATTCCTCGTCACTAACATAACAATCTACTAATCGAAACAAACATTCCCTATCTCAGATGGCCATTAACGATTGGATGTATTTAGTTGATCTTTACAGTAGCACGTTATATCTAACGTATACGTCTTTAAAACCACTGGCATTTATAGTAGCAAAAGGCTCACTGCGAAACGGACGCCAGTTCGACAAGGTTAACTTAGCAGATTTACTAACTGATATTGTTGAACAAATACTTTTAATAAAACAGACGAAAAAATTGAACGTGTTCAGGTTTACGTGTTCAACACGTTGTGTTCACACACGATTGTGCTTGTTTCTGGGGGCTGTTTATCGGTGGTAAGTTCAGCGTACGTCGCTTTTGATACGTTCCTTGTCTAAATCTAGAATTTGCTAGCGTTAATAGTCGGCCCATGTAAGTTCGAGTGTTCTTGGTGAAAAAATCACTTACGCTATTTTTTGTCAACTAATAGCGCCAGGCTCGTTCATCATTATTTTTCAGGTACAGAAAAACCTGCATACATAATATGCGCTTGCTGACTAAGGTTCCCAATGGCCATAAGCTACACTATTGTGGAGATTATCGTAGCGTAATAGTAGCTTACAACTGCAGTGTGTTAGAATTAAAAAAGTTAAATGAGTGGAGCATACTTATAGTTAGCTAACTTGAGCCAACATAGAATTTTGTTTTTGGTTGAGATTTGATTTTTGTGAAGTTAACATAACATGCAGCACTCAAGGAGCCTCGCCACCCGTTACATGGTCATTACATACAGATCTGATAAAGTATCTTGAGGCTATTCACGAGACGAACATTCCAGCAACCGGCGGAAAACGAAAATAGGGCTTTCCGCCCTAAGGGGCTCGAGTTCATTTGAACGCATGTTATCCTATTCTACAAACGGCAATAGTTCCCAGAAGCTAACTAGGTTTATTCAGCGCATATCATTAGCGCTAGAGGTCGGCAGCATAGAACAATATTTTTGTTAACGACAAATAGATATAATGAATTTTCAGCACAAACAAAACCAACCAGCTCCTTTATTTATTATAAATATTAAAGAAAAAAAGTCAATGGAAGCCCTTTTCATCTTTGTCCATGCCATTGGGTGTTTTCCAATAAGCCGGTAACATATTTAACATCTTTAACACGATAAGCGTTCACCAAGCCTACACATGTTTTATTTATATATGTATATATATATATATATATATATATATATATGGGACGGTGCCTTATCTCTGTCAATTTCGCTTTCTGTATCCCTTGTCGCTACACGCGTTCAGCCCCTCATTATGCTACTCGTGTAAAGGTTGCTTGTAGTATTGAATGAAGCTAGATTTTCCTTTGCTTGACTACATATAACGACAAGGTGTGACCTGTTACGATGAATCATAACGAGAATAATAGTTTTAACTTCTATTTTTTTAATTACTTATATTTATTATGATTTATATTATCTTATTATTTATATTATATTTATTAAATTCTAGAGAGAGAAAGTTGTTAACAACTTCCTGCCTCAATTTTTGTTTAGGCGACCATACATCATTGCGTATATGTAAGCTATTTACTTTTGTATACGGAAATGTTTGAGTTTTCGTTGCGAACAGTATTCTGTCATAAACAGTGCTTTCATCCCAAAGACTTTAGCATTAGACCAAGAATCGTTGTATGCGTATACGTACACATAATATTCACAGCCGCCCTTTCACCCGCGGACGTAATGTCTACTTTAAGCTAAATTCACCTAAGCAAACAAAGCGTATAGGTATTGAACAATATTAAGTATGAACATAGACTACTGGGCATTTCAAATACGTTGCTAACGGAAGGAAAACAGCGTACCCGTAGATGTCTATAGATGATGGAATGCCTAACGGCGATACCGGACGTAAAATCTGGAACATACAACTGGCTTTCTAAATCCTGAAGATGCCACAGCAAAGGTGAGTTTTGTCGTTCACTTGTAGCAATATAGCCACGATAATATAGCAAATATGGGCGATATTTGGGCATGCGTGCGATCGTCGTGCAGCTGAAACGGTTGCGCGCGATGCGAAATGCACGACACTAGCGGTAGCAAACAATTTTTTTTATAAAAAAGATTAAAAAAAAAAAATAGAATGAATCAAGAAGTGCGATTTTGCAGCTAGAGTACTATTTTGAAAGTCTCTTATATCTCATTTTTGTTAAGTTCGCTCAGTACTTAACGTGACATACGCCACTTTACAGAATAGCTTTGTATTGGAAGCCTTACCGCGCGAAAACTGCATCAAAAGTTTCTTTCGGAAGCTCATCGTTGTATTTCGTAAACACGTAGAGAGCCAAATGTAACACGCGGTTCCCATCCACTATGTCAGAACAACGTCCACTCCGTGCTTATTTAATCACGGCATAAAGAGTCCAGTCATCTATTTTGGCTGACAACAGTTTTCGAAGTTTCGCCTGTGTTAGTTTGTCTTCTAATTAGAGACACTAAAAATTCAAATCGCCAAGACATTGAAATTACACAAACATTACCTGAACATTACTGAACCAGAGTGGAAAAACAGTGCTGACAGGCGAGTGCCTTCCAGCGTGCTCGGAGTGAGCAGTATGATGTTAAAATAGGATAGTATTCTTAGGGGCAACGCTGTATTTAGTCTTAACGAATGGGTGTCCATCGTCATTTGTTGTTTAGGCTTTTGGTAATACGACGAGTAATTTTGATAATTTACTTGATTTAGCCAAAGGCTGAGCATTCTGATGTTTCGTTACACATAGCAGACATCTGTCTATCCATCAAGGAAATCGATCTCAAACTATCCACAAGGAAACAATGTTAATCAATGGACACCTGTCTGTAGTTTTCCATTCTTTCGTATATCATACATTCTTCAGGGCGATTTATTATCTTAACAGTATAACTGACTTGGGCACTGATACTGAACCCCTACAACTCGTACACTATTGTATTGCACACGCAGTATTGAACATACTGCCATCAAGAGCCTCCGACGATTACCTTTAATATGAAAAAAAAGAACTTTATCTGGATAGCGCATGCGGCACTGTGATTGCATACTAATACAATAGCAGGATATGCACATGAAAGAGCGAGAAAATATTGTTATGAGCTTTCAAGGAGCAGCATATTTTTTCAGGAACGAGGTTAGTAAGTTTACCTGAATGACACAGTTACCGAGAATACCGCTTGGCTTTAAAAAATTGGGACTTTGTGATTGGCCAGTTTCGTGGGTTGGGCATGACATATCGCTGCCATTATCCATATGCGATCCCTGTAACTACGTATTGCTGGAATACAAGGCTTCTTTGACCTATTGCAGAGTGCTCGCAACACTAAATGCTAAGACACTACTCACGTCTGTGTAGCTCTGTCGTAGATTTTGGGAAGTGCTGAAGGAAAACATCCACAGGTTAATTTAGGAGGCCATAGGAGATTCGTAACGTCCAAATCTATATTTTCCGACATTTCTTTGGGCGGAAGTATCTGTGGAAAAATTGCTCGGGGTAAAAGCATTTTCTTTCCTACGGCATAACGTAATTGTTGAGGATGTATGCTAGCGTTCTGGTGGTTGAGGAGCCAGCCGGCCAGAAAAGCCAAGCCCAGCTTCTCAAACAACATGCCGAGATCAAACAATTCAGACAGTTTCTGCGTGTATGATCGTTAAAAAACAAAGCTCTTTTGCTGTGTAGCCTTGGAAGGCATATGCGGAGCATACGTAGCCGTAGTTATCCCCTAACCGACTTATCCTTCGGCTGTGACATTCGATTTTTACGAACTAGATGTCACCAAAGACCGTACTCCCTTATCAGCATTTCCTCTTTTTGTTGATTTAGATGCATGTAAACACAAATACTCAGCAATTGCGTGGCGAATATTTAGCCTATGGATTTATTTATCAGCGCTAATTGTACCGAATCACTAGATGAACGCCTTACTGATTTATAATTTGCGTTTTCCGTCACAGCTAGTAACTTTCAACACACTGAATGCTGATTCGTGGTGTACAAACTCATTGCTTAGAGTTAGCTCTAGCAGAAAGTCGACGAACAGCCTGAACAAATCGCGTTGATCAGACGTACGAGTATATTAGTGCCGAGATGTAGAACTAACACCTTTTGTTCGCACTGACGTTATTACTCATCGAACATGACGTCAGTGATTTGCATCGATCCGTAAGCACGTTCATTAGTTTTTTGCACTATGTTAATCTGAGCAACATTTCCGAAACGCTGATGTTTGCACTATCCACCATATTACTAAACATGTTCCGCGTTAAAAGATCGTGAGCAAGGAAACCGGCGACAGTACGAAGTGGTGTGCTACTTCGCGTATCAAAGCAGCTAAATTATCGACTACTTGTCACTAGTCCAGCATTAGGACATTTCAGGCACTTTTTGTTACCGTCTGTGGGCTTTGTCTTCTCTTTCTGATAAACTATAGAACAAAATGCGAGTCACCGGTCCGCCTTTGGCCAAATTACCTTCAGTGGTGGTTACCACGTCACATAGCTATCATCATCTGCCGCCACTGGTACCGGCCAGGCCCACTTCTGCGGCTGCCATAACTCTCGCCTTCGCACCGAAGTCCTTCCCGTCAGGAAACGGGATATACTATGAAACTGTGTATCCATATATTTATAGTTTATTACAGTACAGTGAAGTGACGATAGCTAAGGCTCTTGCTGGAAGAAACAAAAAACGGGTGCTTCGATCCCCGAAAACGAAACATAACTACGCATAAAACTCGGTCTGAACGTTTAGCAACCTAAACAACACCACTTGTAATAGCAACACTAGCTAATTGAGTTACAACGGTTTGACGACAACGAGCTATAGAGGGAACAATTCACGGAAGACATTTTACATCACAGACTTAATTCAGCTCTGTAGAAGTGTAGGGCGATTGATTTGTATTTGAATTGTACCAGCAAGATGGCCAAATATTTTAAAAGGCTAACAGGGAATACGCGAAGTTATAAAAACTCGCCTACTTATTTAATATAGTTTATTCTAATTTTTGATTCTGTATTTGATTTTGAGGTATGTAAACATCTGTATCGCACTAGAGTTTAAAATAGTCATAGACAACTCGAAGACGATTTGCAATTTGCGTGATATGCAAGGAACATACACGTAAGCAACCGCTTGGAATCATCGGGGACAATTTTATGTATTTCGCAGTCGCTAATTAGCAGTCCTCTTGCAGTTCCTCTTCATCAGTGTCTTCATGGGTTTGCCTGCCGTCTGGATCATTGTTCTCGCAAGGCGCCATTGTGCCAAACTACAACATCGGTAATTTATGGTGGTTTTGTATAGCGGCGGTTCACCGGGCTTTTCCTAGGTTCATCTATCCTCTGGGTTCTCATTTGATCCCAGCGCATCCATGAAGGAAGAATTTTGACCTCTGACTCTATACTTCACGGCTAGTTTGCTATATGTGAATGCAATGCCAAGGAGGGCGCACTACTTACAACATTTTAATCATACAGTTATTAACTATTTCTATATGGATAATAATAGCATACAGAAGATGAGTGCACTGTGTTTATAAATAAGGTCTTCATAGTGGGAGCTCATGAGCGCAGGAACGAGGTATCTACTCACAAATATACGTGTGTACATGTTTGCTCGATATTTCCTTTGGAGATACAGTCTTCTGAGCGAAGAGCGTAATTCTAAACTTCTCTTTCAATAACTCACGTCAGTTCTTGAGCTTCTGAGTGATGAGGCAATCCTGTACGTGTCGGTTAAGATCAAAAAGTTTCAAACGCGTTGACGCTAGATAATCCAAATCTAATAACTCAGTGTTTGAATATTCATATCGCTCCTTAGACAAGTAAGTTAAAGGGTAAATCGAGACTCTAACGTTGAAAAGTGTGCTTGTTCGAAACGCCTTTTAAAGGGCAGAGTTCAGATATGATTCGTCATCGGAAATCTACAATGTGTTACGGTCTATTTCCGAGATATCACTCTATCGTGGAAGGAGGTCTTTCTAGTACGTTGCAATTCTTAGCTAGTTAATTCAAATGTTCTGGCACTGTGCCCATGTACCATTGGCAACAGCTGAGACATTTTTATAGGAAGTACATTGAAAAGTCCAGGGTTTAATAATTAACAACATTTTTTTTACAAGTATGAGTAGGCTAGGAAAAAAACAGTCATTGTAAAATCTTCTCATCCACATAAACTTAAAGCATATCTCTAGAAGGTGCAACGACAACAGAATCCTCTACACGCACTGGCTTCCGTGAAAACTTTAAAATATCAGAGTCACGATAAGGGGGTCACTAGCATCAGCAGATAGAGAGAAACCAACGGTCTGTCAGAGAACGCACAATCACTACCGTTTTCTTGTGGAAGAAGCGTGTAAAATGCACGGAATGCACACCACAAACCAAAACAATGCAGTTAAAATACTAGCAGAATGAGACTATAGCATATGCTTGCACCAAGTGCAATAAGCTAAGAAGGCATTTAAAGAGGGTTAAAGCCTTAGCAACTTTGAACAACTCAATATAGTACGAATACAGGAATCGAACATGGTTATCGAACGTACTGTAAAACAATACCTATAAGAGGCACAGAGCCAGAGAGCCGCCCGTACCATCTATACAAGATAATTGGGGCAAAGGTCAAGAAAAACGTGCGTGTCTTCTGCCTATTCTGACTTTGACCAATTAGTTTATAAAGACTACTCATCGAAAGAAAGCATCCTCGCAGTCACCACAAACGAAACCCTAGCTGTTAGCACAGACGAAAACAGCTGAAGTCATCAAGAATATATTCAAGGAGTGTCCATAAACGGTTGTGTTAGTAGCTACGAAATACTGCACAGTGGAACATTTTTGAGCTTTGGAGCAAGGGGAAAGTGGTTCTGATACCTAAACGTTAAAGATCGTAGTGGCGTATATGCTCAGATGAAGTGCTATCAAAGACAGATCTTCAACCTGGACTACGAAAAGCGTTTTCAACATCCAATAAGGCCACGAGGCGAAAGATTTCTTCGTTATGTTTTCCTCCCCTCATTTTTTCTGCACTTCGTATGGTCCCATCGATTGCTGTTAGGACAGACTTTTGTTTCCTAAGCATACACTAATTATGGAAAGGCAGATCGTTTTATTTAACTTAACTCTAATATCTATCTAACTGAATAACCATACAATAAAGAACCACAGAACTTCGTTCTCCATGACGGCTGCCGTGCCACCAGGACATGTGTCAGACCCTCCACTATGGAATCTAGTATGTGGCAGAGTTTCAAGCCTGTTCGTCACCTTCTTAGTAATATATTTATCCGACTACGCGTATGGCTTACCAATAACAATGACCGACGATTTTCAAAAGCTGAGCAAATCAAGCTTTCGTAACGACAACGGAGTGGATCAAAGATCGAAAGCTAAAATTAGTCCGTGCTAACTGGGAAGCGGTGTTCCTTTTGAGCAAGAAGAAGTGTGAAGAAATTACAAAACAAGGTTAAGAGGATGCCGTTACAGGCCAAACGCAATATTGAGTACCTGCAGATTCAACTGGACCAACCCATTAGGTAAATAATCCACGTAAGAATAGCCAGATAAAGCCGCTCAAGTCTTTACTGCAGTGGCCTGATTTCTTCTCGGCATTCATGATTACAAACAAGGAAAAAGTGGGTTACGGATGTAGGTATCGGAGTCAATCGCTACAGGGCTCCGATATGGATCAAACTTGCAGCGACTGAGACATTGCACAAAAGGCGACTTTGAAACACTTAACACGCAAATGGCCTTGGTACTAATGAAAAGTGCGCCCTGATACCTTAAGGCTAAGGAGCGCTGGGAAGAAACGCGGAGGGGTATTATTCTATGCAACGCAAATACTAACAGGGTACAGTCAGCTTCAAAGTTACCCACATAGAATAAGACAGGCCTATACAGACATCCTGTGCTGGAAAACAATACCTTCAGGTCCATGACTGATTGCACAGCACCGCGGAATGTTAAGAATATAATTATGACTTCAACCAATAAAATGGCGCTTACTAAAGTCCTTAAAGGTGTCATAAATCACTGTGTAAAAGTCTGCAGTACTAATGAATTAACTTCCAGGCTGGTACAAAAAAATGTACATATATACGCTTAGGAAATAGACGATCAAATGCCTGCCCTTAAACTTCAAAAGATAAGGACGTCATGGTTTTTCTAGAAAACGTATTGTTGTATTTAGCGCTTCACATCGCCATTTTGATTTACGTTAGAGGCCTCCGGCCTATATTTGATTGTAGCTGGAGAAATCAAATTAATTTCTAGAACCTTTGGATTAGCTGTCGCAGTTTAGTATCTTACCGTACTTGTGTTTAGCAATCTGCTATTACCTTTACGAAGGGAAATGGGCTGAGATGGTAAGTGGTTTCAAAATCGCGTATTGCTAACAAACAGGAAAGTTTCTTCATGACCAGATAGCTGATTTCCTCAAAAATTTCCTATGTGCCAACAAATGTGTTGTACATGTTGAAATTAAAAAAAAAATTTCAACGCACTCAATCTAAGCGGCGACAATAATATACAGTGCATGAAAATCGTTTCGTGTTAACCTTGCCAGCCAGCTGCCCGGTAAGTGAGACTTCTCTGGTCTCTTCTATGACAACTAGAACCATTCGCCGTTCATGAAAAAGCTTCTATTCAATGTAAGTAGCGCATGCACTGCGCTGCTAGTTAAGTACTAGCTTACTCAACAATTCAATGATCTCGAGAAAAAAAACGTCCCAAGATGTCAGCATGTTAGCCTTTACTATTGAACGTGAACCGGCAGAACTTCGAAATTCATCAACTTACATGTTGTAGTTATCCACTGCAACACAGAAAAACGTTGTTGCATTTTTTGGTAGCATACATGACCTGATTAGGCGCACCAAGATAATATTCAATAAGAATTTACAATCTAAGATGTGACTGAAAATTTTCCTCTCTTTTTTTCGTAGGTTCGGGTTTGAAAATTGTTGATGCCAAAAAAATCTAGGTTCTAGAACATATCTCATTGTTTCATAGACGGCATTTGATTTTTGCTTCGTTTGTGCGGACATCTTTAGGAGGTTAGCTTGTCATTTTTTTTTTTTGTTATATTTTCCATGCTGTATTTTTCGTCTTATTTTTTTACATTTTTTACATAGCAAAATTGGGTTACTTCGGCGCGTAAAAAGTCAATCACTTGAGGATGTCAATATCTGTCAGTATGCTAGATTGTACAACACAAAGACGTACCATAAACATCGAAACCTCTTAAGAACTTTTATAATTTTGAAAGTTCTTTTTTAAGAACGAGCTATCCCCTAAGAAAATATTCCAACACAATGTCAGTTTATTCAGCATGCTCGACTCAATCTGCGCCAAGACAGAAATTTTCAACACCTGCCGATTGAGTTTGGAATATTTTTTAGCCTACGCTATTCACACGTGAGCGGAACAGCAGAGAACCTAGGTAAGATCGAAACTGCATATCTTCAAATATCGCAACATCTAGTGAATGTACGTTTAAACAATATGAAAGTGTAACCAAATTATATTCTATCTGCGTTTTTTCAAATAGTAAAGCAGTTTCTTGCAGATTGGGCTTGGTCTTGAAGGCTGATCTGAAAACGATACCGTATTGCTATGACATCAATCAGAAATTTCAATACACATATAGCTATAGCAAGAAGTAAGCATAAAATGTTGTTATTTCTTAGTTCTTTGTTTAATTACACAATGACTAGAGTCTCAAACGGTACGCTGATTCACTGCACATGCTTAAAAAATAAAAATAACAATTATTATTTCAATATTGTGTCCGTATTGTGTGTTCCGGCCGAAATGTCATAATCAGCTTTGCTGCTAAGCCTTTTCGTACTTAGATTATGCAAGAAGAATTATGTGACTCTGTTCTATAGTAGTTAATATTTAATATATTTATCTTTGAACCACGACATACATCATTATTACACATCGTGATTCGCATCATTTCAATTCGACTTAGCAAAGACTCTGCATCCTAGATGTAAACTAACATCAAAATCAATATTGGAAAACATCGTCGCTTCAGTCAACTGAGCCGAGTGTTCGAAAACGAATAAGGCCAATCTAGCTCTTTAATAGGTCTGGCGTCTGCTAGGGTATCGGGGCTTTCTATTTGCCCTAACGCTCGTGAGCTGGATAGCTTATTGATGATTTCTGGCTGTCTAATTGAATCTATTCTATACACTTAGAACTGAAATTAAATGGCCGACTAGAAGACGATTTTTGTTTAAAACTATTCGATGCACCTCGATACTGTGACATTATCTATCTGTGATTTAGATGCAACGTTATATTTGGATAGACAACAATTTCTTGGGACCGCGTCGTTTTTCTTTTTTAGCATTCAGGTGCGTCGCTGACACACTAGCTAAATGCGCAATAGTTGCTTGCAGGTCAGCAGTAATTCCGGCCATCAATGAGATTACGGATTGCTGGTACAAAATTTCAATTTAATACACCTTTCCTGACCCAAAATGTATCTGGCTTATCTTTGAAATATTTTGCCTGGATAACTCGATGTCTATTGATGGATCTTTCCTCTGTTTCTTCTCTTTGCAGTTCGCTAAATGTAACACAAGGAAACACACAACGCGCCGGTGAATAAATTTGATTTACGTCGCTGGGAAGTAGCGGCAACAATATTAATATTAAGCTGTTATGTTGCACCGTCGAGCCGTTTATCGTAAGTTATTACACTGGTGTTTGTTGAAAGAATCTAGTCAATATATAGAGGGCAGTTAGCTGTGAATCTTGACAATTTTCTCGTCGACAAAATGTCAAAGCATCGCAATGAGTGTCGTTATTATGTTAACTAAACATTGCTTTATGTTAAATAGCGGTAACGGCTTGTGTTATCTCCGCAGTTACTTAGATCTATACCCGAATTAGAACGGACGCAGCTCACGAGGGCTCAAATATTAGTGATAATTGGCGCCAAAAGGATTCGATTTGTGCATGACGCTAAATTGGCGGGGACGCGGATAGTTGCCGCGTTAATGCGGGCATCTAAGCATTGCACGGGCCACAAGATGGCGGAGTGATGCGGTTAGCAAACGGACAACGGTACAAAGACGAAGAGCCAAGTTTTATCGACAGCCAAGTCGCAGGTTAGCGTTGCAAGATAATCGGTTGTGAATGTTTACGCCTAGAGATACGTGAGTGATGACGATGGCCTGCGTACAGTTGCAAGTGCCTTGTCGAAAAAGTTCACTGAAGCGTCGTCGTTTGGATATGCTCATATAAGGGCCGCGCCCCCAAGCGAAAAATAACATAACAACGCCTCCCTGGGTATTCAATAGTAGCTGGTAGGAGCTCACAGGAGGCCTAATGCGGAGAAGGGATGTGCGAAGCTAAGGTCGGATGGTTGACAGCTAGTCGATGCTGTGGGCTATCCTAGGTAATTTCCCGTTGTCGTTGACCTCGACAATCCTACTTTGTGAAATGGAAAAGCCGCGAAAGGACGCGATTTCGTATGGCGGCTAGGCATATCGAGACAGACACCAATTAGTCTTTGTGAGAGAATAGTGTGTTATGTGTATGGTAATAGTGCAGTTGGTTTAGTTTGTCCGACAACTTAGCTAAATAGCTAGCTATCTGTTCGTGCTGTTCGTGCCAGTAGTATTGTGCTCGTCCGGGCAAACGTCGCTATTTTTGTTCCCAGCTTCGATCGGTATGTGTCAAACTCAGTACATGTTGCTAGTAAGCGTTTTGGTAAGGCCTCTGGAAACATAGGGGTTATAGCTTCTAAACTGGGCTAACTCGCGTTTGAGGGCGAGAAAGGTCTGCGTGTGGACCTAGAAAACGAAGCAAAAAGAACTGCTTCCGCAATTAGTATCCATAAGGTTTTCTCGTTATGGATGCTAACCGTTTTTCCATCATCTCAAGGCGGCGATTCCACTCGCTTTTAAGGCAAATGCAATGGTTACAGGAGTATCCGCGGCTCAAGTGGACAACCTACACAACGCGATCGCGACACCTTGTAGGCGGAGACAACACCTGCCTTTTTTGTCTTGTCTATCAGAGCCGAACTCGAACATGCAGAATCTGTATGTGAACGATTGGAATCTGCGTACTGTATAGATACGTGCATGTGTGTGTTTGTGCGCACGCGCTGGTATTTTAGGTCTTTTTCTTTGTGCAGGCGCGTGAGGGACACAAGTACGTGCTTACTTATAGCCATTTAGAGCTGGGTTCTAACTGCAGCTCTTGCTCATCCCATTTCCAAGAAATGAATAGCAGCTGATCAGCTATGCCAATATTAAGGGTTGCCGTTGGCGGCCAGTCAATTGATTGCCATCGCAAGAGCTACAGTGGCAACTGTTCAGGCATTTGTCACTGATGTTTATCCGCTGTTAGTTCATCTGTGTTCCGTCCCACCATTTGCTTGTGTTACTGTTGTATTTTTTTTTGTTATTTCCCTGGTCAGTTGTCTCGTTGGTGCTTCTGCTGCTGCTACTAATGTTACTGGTGTTTTTGTGCTTGTGCTAATTCAGCTGTTACTCTGGACTGAGGCCGACTCGAAGATATTGTTATTTTTCTGCGTGCAGCTGTTGTCGACGGTCTGTTGTGTTGGTTGATACTGCCACATGATTGGATTAGGCATCATCATGTCGATGCCGTGGTGTTGTTACTACAACTACGGCCATGTCTACTACTTTCTGCCTGGACTACACTTACCATCGACAATCAACTGATGTGTTTGTTCGCCTCTGTCCTCGACCTCATTGTTGTGGTATGGGTAGCGATGGCAGCGGTCGCTGCCGCTACAGTCGCTCTGATTGACTCTTTCGTAGCTAGTGCTGTTTGGTTGTTTGCGGCTGGAAGTGCTGCTGCTGCTGCTGCAGGAGCTCAGAATGAACGGCCCTGAATGAGATAGCTACTGAAAGTTACCCTGCTAGACTACCGCGGCCTTTGTTGCTCACTTTTCTCCTTCTATCAATCCTTTTCTGTACATACCCAACGACGTCGTTTTTCGTGGTCGTCGTCATTGTCTAAGCCAATAAGGGTATTGCTGCTTGTTGCCTGGGTGACAACGGCAACAAGAACAGCGTCATCATTTTCATCAAAATCACTATCGTTTGCAGTGCAGGTGGCTATCAGTATCCAATACGAATAGCATTTATTGTATTTATGCTTATTGATGCTGTTGCCGACGCTGGTGTTGATAAATTGGTCATTCATGTTTGTTCTTTGCTATTGGATAAAATATCTAGTGGAGAAGGAAACTGGAGTAATGTGTTTATTTTTGCCGTTATTAGTTGGGCGCAATAAAATTGAGTAGTGAAATGTTCGAATACGACTCTAAGCCGTTTTATGAAAAATGTACAAAAGCCTTGTTGGTTACAAGTCTCGATTATTTGTTAGATTGCATTGATAACCTCTGTCATGACTCCATAGCCACTACGCGCCTTGGGCGAACATGCATTGTCTCCCATAAGTTAATGTTATTTGGGTTCAGTTACATACGTTTGTATTGTGAAGCTACCGTATGAAATAACTGCGAAATAGTCAAAGAATTTTATATGGTTAATAAATTGGGAAATTCATATGTTGAAATTTCCAGACCTTCGCGACCGGAGGCTTACGACGCGTGTGAGACCGTTATTAGTTTCCGTAGCAACTTTCGTGTTTTGTGTCTAAATTAAGAGGAAAAGAGGTTTTATGACTTCACTACTTAATCCAACAAACCTAAATTTGTCTTATTTACAATTGCTTGAAATGGTCACTGTCTCGTTAATATTAAAATTAAATAGCGTGCTTGTACTTTATTTTTAATTTTTTTCCCTACAGTGTTCGAAGTGATCTCTCAACCGAACAGGTTGTGTTTGAAAAACTCGATCGAGCTGGAGTGAGCAACAAACACGCTGAACTCTATTCGATCACGACCTGCTATGCATCAACGCTACAGTCTGCTGCGTAAGTTATTAGCCCACTTACATACCGATAACGTAGTAATTCTTTTCTAACTACAGTTACCTAGAAAACGCTACGTAAATACAGAAATGCTGGAAAATAACTTCCTTGTCAACTATCAGCTGATAGTGCTACTGTAAATGATTTCCGATGACAACAAATAATTTGCAAGATTCTTTGGAATATCTAAGACGGTACTAACAGTACCTTCGCTGCAGGTTCGATTTAGCGATAATTTAAACCGAGCTTATTATGTAGTATGAGAACAACCGAGCTTCGCTAAGATCCATCCTATTTTGTTTACTCTTTTGGAATTCTGGTAAAAGAGCTTCAATTTTTTTGACACCGACACGTTGCTCTCGTCCCGTTTAAACTAACCATTTTATTAATCTCTCTATTTAAACTATGTGTTTTTTGCTTCCCGCTCGGTTGACGCATTATTAAGTTAGTGGTTCTGCTATTATATATGGCAACACTTGCATGGTAAAACAACAAAATATGAAAGACATATGGACAAACCGAATTTTAATGGGGTTAATTATTTTTTTTCCAAACGAATTAACTCCTTTATGCCAAGTAAGACCGCTACCTCGACCGCGCACAGTATCAACGAAGGAAATTATCGTTAGTTTACATCGCTTCTAACGGTTCCCCTTCATTGCCTATGCAAAATTGGCATTTAACTGCATCGTCAAATCTGCTACTTCAGCAAATCGAGCAGTTGCAAGTTGCTTTTTTCAAAGTCTATTGTCAATCTACTGTGATGCTGTTTATTATTCACGACATTATGCTATTTCATCTAGTTATTAGCGATATATATTTGTCATCCACTGACTTTCATTAATGTACGACGACAGACAGCAACACGAGTTTCCTAATACAATGCTGCAGCGCAATAATCTCACATTGCCACTAGTTCTTAACTGTACTTGCGCGTAGCCTCCGTCCTTCCCCGCTCTTCAATGCGACTGTCACCAATATAGCCGATGGTCATACAAAAACAAACCATCAGCAGTAACTTCTTCTCAGTTGGCGTTTGTGCAACAGCAACAGTAGATAACGCCTGAATAGCCGCGTTAGGGAGCCAGCTCTATGGAAGCTGATCTAAACGTAGTGGCAACAACATGGCGAAATCAGCGATGAGCAATACCCCCCATAGCCAATTAGGAGCTGAATAGTTTTCTAAAAAGTCTTTCTAAGGAACCTAACCTAATTAGCAGTTATGAATGGTAAAAATAACTAAATATCAACGCATTTGCTAGCGTTTGCTAATGTTCACCTAGGAACAGATAACTTATTTATCGATATGAATGTTTAAAGGGTAATTTTTGTTGAACCGTATTCATTCGAATTTGTGGGTAATATTCATATCAATCATTAGGTTTCATTGGGGTGATCTGCCGATTATTTACAGGAGTAGCAGCACTAGCCGTCACAAAGCAAAGTCATCTTGGCTAATTAGTATCGGGCTGACCGATCTGATGCCACACAGGAACAGTGTAAGGTATCTCGGTCTCCGAGCCAAGTTCATCATATCTCTGTCATCCTTAATGCAACATAAACAAGACTGCTTCGCGAGTAGAAAACGTCAACGATAACCGTATGAAAACAGTCTTTTGGGAACAACGATCACATCAACCGCTGTTGGCGCAGCAGCGACAACAATTCCAGTTGGGCACCTGCAACCGGTAACAGACCCATCTCATTTGTAACCTGATATATATATATATATACCGGCTAGGCCAAGGGTCTCTTGGCTATTAGAGAGTCCATTTCATATCTATAAAAGTAACAAATGGCAACGTGATATGCAAATCGTTGCAACAAAGGCCAACAATTGCAGCAATACATTTGTAACAAAGGCATCGTAGCAATGTTATAATACCATAGTATTAGTATATTTCTACAGTTCAGTAGCTACAACAACGACTGTTGTAATTGTTCGAATGGTTTTACTATTAACGAATGTGAAAACGATTTAATTCAAGCTTTATGTGGCAAATATTCGATTTGAAAATAAATATTCGGCTACATACTTACACTAACATGCATGTGACATGTCCTACGATACAATAAGGAATCGTCGGTTAGTTAGACAAAATGGTTGAACGCTGGTCAATTGCATTTTCAACATATACACTTGTAATTTTGTCCCCCGTAGTACGCGTGCATCATAGAACTGCAAGAATTACAGGCGTGGTCGACTACAAATGCGTTGAACAGTTAAATTCGTTCTCCTGCTACTTTAACAGATGTAAAATACATCCTTTAGACTTTTGGCCCGATCTCTGCGTGTCTATGTATACGTGGTTCACTATGAAACATGACATAATGAAATTCAACTTCTCGGACGTTCTTACAGCCTCGGTTGTTTTATTTTCGATCGAAGCAGACACCACTTTTTACGTATGACCTCCAATTGACCGGATGGTAGGTTATTTAACTCACTACTGTATAAGTCTGGGATATGAGAATTTACGAAATCTCGAAAAACGATTTTGACATCTTACAGACATTTGAATACGTTTCCTATTCAGAAATTATCAAGATTTTTAAAAAATTGCAATCCGTTTGAGCGATGTGTAGCTCATATGGTCGACGACAAAAAGCTTATAACTTTTTCTTCTTGATATAATTCTTGTGGTATGAGGTCGAGCGTTGCCATGCAGTGGTTTACTTCTGTTTACTAACCTTGGCAGTTTAATGCAAAACTCCTTCTTCCTTGTTGATTGGACATTTCAATAGCGATAGACGAACCAGTAATCATAAAGCTGTAGTAGATGACACTATTTTGAATTCATTTTTTATTGAAAGACATAAAGTGACACATAATGGGTCAGTGATCTTATATTTCCTTTTTTTGATCTTCTCTCAAATGATGCCTCACTTATTTGACCAATTATTTTGTCTCATTGATTTTACTGAGGTGAATCCGTGATTTTTAAGCAAATATTAAACCTAACTGCTAACACCAGTGGACTTTGAAATGGGTTGATTTTTAATGCAGCTATGACTCTTAATTACTCACGTTTGCAAAAGCTTTCCACAAGGCTCATTTTCCAGTTCAAAATGTTTGGAAATTTTTGGAAAAAGAATTCACGGTGTTTCTACTAATAGAGCATACTAGATCTGGATACAAGGTTTATACGGCAAGCTGTCTTCTCTGCTGTAGCTCATAGTTGTAAATTTTCAGGCTTACTGCTAAAAGCTCAAAATAAAAAAAAATTTAAAAAAAAGCTCAAATGATGATATTTCAGTGAACGATTTCAGATTTGAAAGAGCGCAAATGTATCTTGAATACAAAAGAAAAACATCACAGCAAGCCGCACCGTTATAAATTAGCGTCATTTTGAAAGACGGGATTAATGTTTGTCATGCTTCATACCGAATGTCCTAATATATACCAAAAACCGTTACAGAGTAGTTGAATGTTAGCATACGTGTAGTGAAAATAACAACTATTTTTTCTCATGAAGTTTTCTACAGTAAAGAAAACAAGGAACACGAGTTTTTTTTTTACTGTTTGATTGTTCGTAGTCGGCCTTTTAATAAAAGATCATAACTGTCGAATAATATTGCAGGTGAGGCAAGGCCAAACCCAGTGGCAACGAGGTGCTCGAATAACCCTCGTAGTCTGCTTTTTTTTCGATCAATCGCAGTCGAAACCGTGCGTACGATATAGCGAATACTGGGACAACCTGTTGAGAACGACAGCTCGACTTGGCCGAGCTGGCAACCGTCCTTGAACCGCGTCATCGGCCATAGGGACGGCTCGGAGCTGTGTGCGACTCCGAAAAACCGATAGCAACGCATTAAGTCCGATTTCTGCCGAGGCCTCAAGCGTTACGAACACCGCCTTGAGAGTCATTGGCAGATGTAAATCTGCAAAGTAAGCCTGCCGAGTGATAGTTTGTGATCTCGACCTCATCGTATATCGATCGTTGTTAACCGACAGACAGCAAGTGGTAATCAGTCATTATTCAATCAGTTATCCACGTGCGCCCATAAACTAAACTGACCTGGTCCTTCCAGCACTACGACGGTGACTGTATCAAACAAGCAATTTTCTAGCCAGTCAGCCATCTACCAATCTCGCTGCCATCTCGAAGCAGGGCTCTTCGCTTTGTGTATTGACGAATATTATTACAGTAATAATATTATTATTAATACAAACATTAGGTTTTTAGTGACGCAGCAGTCGCAAAAGGAAGTAAACTTGTGGACGAACGAAAAACCAAACGTAGCGGATCCGAAGATCAAAGCGACTTAGCAGCAGCTTGGCGTCGGGAATTCTCCCAAGCCCAAGGACTGTGTTAGCGGTTTCGACCGTGATTATCTGTGATAAAACTCGGCGCCAGCAAGCAATTAGCCTGCTCATATCGCTTTCTTCCGATCTCAATTGCACCAACAGTAGCAGGAGCTATAACAGTGACAAAACAGTATCAGCACGAGCAGCATAAGAAACAGCAACAGATCGCAACGATAGCTACCTCCACCAGCGAAACCAACACCAGTTATACATTCTGTGTGAGCGCTGCGACATTTGCTATTCGTCAGTTAACAAAAGACAAAAAGAACCCATTCGCCATCTCTCAAAACGGTACGGTGTACTACGAGCACCGTTGACAAAGTTCCGCTACTAGTGCTACCTACAAACTGTAACACAACTATTTAATCTCCAAAAAGTACCTAAGCAGAACAGACGAGAGCGCATTCTCATTGAGCTCATAATCTTCTCTTCAACCATCCTTGGGAGCTACAACGAGCAAGACAAGAAAAAACAAGCCATCCAGTTGACAACGGACACAATAACGTACACTTCACTCAGCTATAGTCAGTCAGTTATAAACTGTCATCAGTCATATATACGCATATAAATTAAGAAACAAGTATCTAAACTGTTGCACAAAGAAAAAGGCAAAAGTAGCAACAGCAACAACAATAACAACGACTAAATAGACGACTACCTCACCTGCTGCTACATCAGCAAAAGCGGCGGCGGCGGCGGCAGCAGCAGCAACAGGAGTAACTGCAGCAGCTCACGAGGTGTGCCTATGTATGCGCGAATAGCCATTAGTGATAACAGCTGTCTTCTTTCTTATTATTACCATATAATCTTCATCTTCCTGTTATTAATAGAAACATCGTCGTTGTCGTGCGCCTCTACCGGCAATTCGTCGTGTTGATTGACCGGATTTGATCTCGCTTGCCATGACGGGGGCCCAGGCCGCCGTGGTAACCGCTCCGCCCAGCCTGCAGGGATCGCAGGGATCGAACAACAATAACGCAAACACCCATAACAGCAACCTTAGCAGCAGCAGTAACAATAACAACAACCTCAGCGTGCATAACATAAATGACAGTAGCAATAGCAACCATACCTCGAACATGACCAACAGTGGCAACAATAACAACAGCAACAATATGACGAATTCAAATGCGGGTGGCGGACAGGGGGGCCACGGTCATCATCACTCACACGGCAACCATGGTAACAACCCTAATACTGGTGGTAACACTGGCCATGGGTCCAATCCGAACAGTGGCAACAACAATCCCAGCAATAGCAATAATCACCATCAGCAGCATCATCATCATCATCATCATCACCATGGAAATATGGGCGTTGCCGCGAGTATCGCAAGCAGCCTGTCCAACAACAATAACAACAACAATAGTTCTACCGGATCGTCCACCACAACAATGCCTACAATAAGTGCGATAAGCGGAGGCGGACCCGGGGGTGCCGTTGGAGGCTCGCTCGTCCGCATTCTCAGCGCTCCAAAACTGGGAATCGTCACACCCAAGCTGGGACTCTTGGGTGGCGGCGAGACCTCGACATCGACGTCGCAGTCATCAGGTGAGCTGTCAGGAATTCTACTTCTTACCCAATGAGATACGAGATGTACGGGGACTTAATAAACTGCAAGTTTGGCCAAGAACCAAGACTCTGTAATCGCATATATTCAGTTGTCATGAATCATGAGATGATTTAGACTAGAAACTGTTTCTTTTTTTATATTTTCTTCACATAAAATTCGCGAAGCTGCTGACACCTCAATAGAAGATCGATTTTCAAGCTAAGGTTGATTAAGAAATATCTCATGACTCATGTCGACGCTCAAGATCGGAGCATAAGGTATTTGCATACTTCCAGCGAGTCTTAAATATGTGATTAAAATGCTTTAGGTTGGGGCGCCCCCGGCCCATCGACATCTTCTGGCGGTGCAGGTTCAGGGTGGGGCCAACCAGGCGGCGGTGGATCAGGTACAGGAGCCCCATGGGGAGCTGGTGGTGAAGAAAAGCAGTCCGCTGGCGCAGCGTCATGGGCGGCCACAGCGGGCGCCCATGGGGGCGGTGATAAAGGTGGTCAAGGTTTGCGTGGTGGCTCCATTCCTGGTTGCCCTCCAGATCAAGAAGATCTCCGAAGAGTGGCCGCTTTCGCATCCGGATGGGGTATGTTATACGAGCTATCGTATTGTGTGTTTTCTAGCTACCTAGGAACCATATTCATTATTACGTTGGACGGGCTGAATGTAATAATCTAAGTCTGAATACCTTGAATGCGACCATCGATGGTTCGAATTTACTGCTGGCTCATATAGCTCTTGGATCTACCATCTATTTCGGTCATTCGTATTTTCAGGCCAAGTTCCTATCAATCAGGATACAGCATGGGACGCACCAGCCTCGCCAAAAGAGACGGCCCCTCCGGTGCCTCCCCTCATTCAGTCCGTTACTTCTGCTAGTCTCCAACAACAACCACCGTCTAGAGCCATACCTGGCTCCCCAATGTGGGGAGGGCCAACTCCTACAGAGCTAAGCCAGACACGTACGTATTATTTAATGCATCAGAATAATGTTCATGATATTTTAACGTAATATTTTCGTTATGATATTTGTGGAATAATCAGTAATTCATTCAAGTGTATTAAATTGACGTTACTAAAGTATACTTGTACCTATAGGCCCTGCACCTGATGCACGCAGCATGTCTGTAAACCACAAACACAACCAAGGTAGCAAGTTCTTACCTTCCAATTTTTTAATTGATCTTGTTCTTTTCGAATAATAATATTGCAAAATAGGCGAACTATTTTTACCTTAGTAGAGATATATAATATCACGAACGTAGGATTCGATTCTAGCAGCAGATTCTATACGCTCTAGTTAAGTGTGAACACCATCTCTCGTTATTCCTCTGTAGAAGTGGTTGGTAATTGTGTTTTGATTTTTATCATTTATTGCAGAACATGCGAAGGGAACAGACATTTGGGAATGCAGCATTCGTCAGAAAGGCTCGAAGGCACCCGGTGGAGGTGCCTCGGGAGTGTCAGGAAGCACAGGCGCAGCTGGAGGAGCTGGTCTGGGAGGCATGGCGGGGACGGGAGCAAGTGGCCAGCAGGGCCCTCACCAGGGTCCTCATTCTCAGGGAGGGTGGCAGCAACAACAACAGCAGCAACAGCAGCAGCAACCTCCTCAACATACAACAGCTGCTTCACACATAGGAGGTGAGCCAGCGATGCACATTTGAAATATAATTTCTATTATGACAGCATATCATCTGGCTAACGGGTTTTCTCCTCATTGATCTGTGAACAACCCACCCACATTCTTAAGCATTTCGTTGATAACTATCTCGATTAATTACTTCTGTTAATGTGTACCTGCTAAAAGCCATACGATGTCCGATGACAGATCTTCCGAAATGAGATCAGGAGTGCGGCGAGCATATCGAGACAGCGATCAGGGATTACTATTTATTGTCCAGAAATAGGTAGAAAGGAAATGGCAGTAATGATGTTTATTTTGTTGGTAAATAACTTCCAAGGGCAATATAGAGGCCTCTTAGTGTTCCGAATGGATGGTTTCTCCTAGTCGAAGCTTTATGCTTCACTACTTTGAGCTTTCAGATCTAGATTTTTTTCACTTTTATTTTTTGGTTTTCAATGGAACAACCAGATATTTTACATGGTTGTACATAAAATTATATTAGACTTAAGACTGCTGAATTTCGGAATTTTTTTTTATTGCAGGAACATGGGGTGAAGAAGAAGTGGAAAATCCAAATTCAATGTGGACCGGCGTTCCTCCTCCATCCGTTGCACCGCCTGGTATGGGCGGGCCCGTCGGTGGCGGTGGTTTTGATACTGTGACCTCACCTGTGACCTCGCAGTGGCCTCCGCAGGGTCCTCCACCTGACAAACAATGGGGCGGTCCTGGAGGTCAGGGCGGCCCAGGTGGACATGGCGGCCATGGCGGAGCTAGCCCCCATCAACAGGGCCCACCTCCGCCACACTCACAGCCATGGACGCAGCCTGGAGGAATGCCTCCGCAACATGATGCAACCGCTTCATGGAGCGGACTGAAACAGGCTTTGGCACATGCCAGCGGCGCACCTGCTGGCCCTGGGGGACAAGGCGTCAGTTGGGTTCAGCTTAAAAAGGAATGGGAGCCTAATAGTCAGAGCCCGGGTGGTCCGAACGACACCTCGCAGATGCCCCCGCCACCCGGCGTCTCCTACGATGATCGTACGTATATCAGATTGAACACTATGGTTTATCGATTCCAGGGATCTCTCCGATAATTCTCAAGATTCAATATTACTTTTGAAATTCAACGAAATGTTACGAAGCACGTATGGTTGTAAAGGAGCTTTGTTTCAGAATATTCACAGTTCACCTTTCTTGAACAGATTGTGAAATTAAGGTTTTTTTTTTTATTTGCATATATATATATATATATATATATATATATATATATATATATATATATTTATTATATTACATATATATAATAAAGAGAAATTTTCATTTGCCTCAATTTCAGGCATGCGTATGGGAACGGCGGGATGGGGAAGCCCGGCGATGCCGGACAAGGTGTCTCACTGGAAGGATATGCCGACGCCTGCCGTCCCTAGGCTCGTTCCGCTGCAGTGGGGCGGTGCCGCTGCAGGCGCAGGTGATAAAATTCCATGGTGGGAGGAAGAGTGGGGAGCAAAACCAAAGACGTCTTCTGGCGGCCCGCCGGACTGGTCCGACGGCCAGATCGACACAAGTACCTGGGGAGGACCCGCCAAACAGGGAGGTAAACCTCTTACCAAAGAGCTCATTTCAGCTTCACAGCACTTCCGTGTGCTCACTTCAATGGGGTACCATAAGGACGAGGTCGAGAACCTACTGCGTGCCAACAATATGGATATGGATCGTACACTGCAAGCTTTGCGTGTCACACGGTTTGCACAGACGGGCAAACCGAAGCCAGGCATGCCGGGCGGCGGCAACCCTCAAAGCCACAATTTCTCGGTATCACAATGGGAGCCACGCGGGCCGCCGCCGCCGCCGCCCCTTAGCAAGCAGCAGTCACAGCAAGGTCCTCCACAGCAGCCACCACAACCGGGACCGCCGCAAGCGCCAATGCGCAGTCCTATGCAGCATCCGCTGCATCCTGGAGGACCTGGTCATCCTAATCACCAAGGCCATGGCGGACATGAAGGTCCTGTCGCTCCGGGCGCCGGAGCATCTCAGCCTTCAGGCCCTGGCGGTCCGGGAGGCGCTGCTTCCGGGCCCAATTCATTCGGCCCGGGTCCCGCACCTTCGCAAGAGGCTTTGCGCACACTTGTGGCGCGCATTCAAACAGCCATTCAGGCGGGTTATCTTAATCCGCAAATCCTAAACCAGCCATTAGCGCCACCCACTCTCCAATTGCTCTATCAGCTTTTGAGCCATATTCGTATAATCGACATACTCGAAATGAAGCCGGAGCACCTTATCCACAATCCAATGAAGCACAATGTTCAAATAATGCATATCAAGCAAACTATCTGCAGTCTGCAAAATCAGATCCTCGCCGCACAGGCGATGTTCCTGAAACAGCAGCCCCCACCCCCAACGGGAACCGAGTCGAGATTGAACCAGTGGAAGCTGCCATCGCCGACCGGCAGCGCCCAGGGTGGCGAACGCGAGAGTACACCTGGTCAGCTGAACGTCGCTGGACAAAGCGCCGGTGTCGGCGTGGCACAGGCCAGCAACGGCGGTTCGAAATGGGACCACGCGGGCACGGCTGCCTCTGGAAGTGGCAATGGACAAAGTAACGGACAAGAGTCGACCGGTGGGGGGGGACAATCTCAATCGCAACCGACGACTGACTCGGGGGCCAGCGGTATGCAATCAAGTATGAACAACAATTACAACGTCTTCGATATTGTGGCTGAGTTCGAACCAGGAAAACCGTGGAAAGGAAGTTGGAATATGAAAAGTGCTGAAGACGATCCACACATGACGCCAGGTTCTGTTACACGGAACCCACTTGTAGCACCTGGAGGTCTCAAGGACAACAATGAGGCTCTGTTCAATCAATGCGACTGGCAGAATCCTTCCGTAAGTACAATATGTACAAGAAATATACTTAAAGGATTTTGCGATAACAAATCATACACTTTTCAAAATCCTTGTATAACATGTCTTGTGGAGAACTATTTTCTAGGCATTTTAAATACTGAGCAATCTTTTTAGCACTAAAATGTCGCTTTCGTAGTCATTGCAATAGTGTTTATATAATAACTTACAGACGAGCTCCGACAGCTCTTCGAGCACGTGGTCTGCGTTCGGTTCAAGCGGAAGTAGTGGTGTTGGCACAACAGGCGGCCAGGGAGCAAACAGCTCAAAGAAATGGTACGAACGTATGTGGCATAACACCCCAATCGTTAACCCGAATAGTCCGAGTAGCGGGGGACCAGGATCTACCGGGATCTCGTCGTCTATGCATCCTTCCGGGGGACAAGCCGGTACTAACCAGACGTCTGGGAAGAACTTCCTCGTTCTGAAGAATCTCACAGCGCAGATCGATGGGTCTACGCTCAAAACGCTTTGCATGCAACACGGGCCTCTTCAGCTGTTCCATCTTTTCCTCAGTCATGGTATGCAAACTATCTGAACGAACAGAATTGTTTCTATGAAACTTCCGAAAACAGAATATTAAAAGTCAAAGATATTCACAATTGAATATAGAAAATATTAAATTTTCAACTCTCAAAGACAGCATAATTTACTACCGTTGCGTGAGTACTACTGGTCGGTTATTTAATTGATATGAATCTTTGGTAGTTCTTGGGGTAATGGTAGCAAAACCTACTATTTATTATATTATAACAAAAAATAACCTACTATTTTGAACTTGGTGTGTCGTGTTATAACGATCGAATCCTCGATTTTTCTATCTGTTAGTATTTGGGTTCAGTTAAGTTGATTGATTACCTTCTGCACTCCTTGTTGGATTTCAGGCCTCGCTCTGATTCAGTATCAAACCCGTGAAGAGGCTCTTAAAGCGGAGGCAGCCCTTCATCATTGCGTACTATCCAATACTACAATTATTGCTTACGTACCAACGGAAGCTGAAGTGCATCGACTACTCAATATGCCTAACTACAAAAAAGATCGCTACAATCAGCCAACAACTGGAGTCCAAGGCGCTGCTGGCCAACAACAGCAGCAGCCATCTCCCGCCCAGCAGCGCCCACCCACAAGCAGTGCCGCGCCCTGTGGTTGGCCTTCGTTCGATATGGGTGGCATGGGTGCCATGGGTAGTATGGGTGGTGGTGCTGCACTTTGGGGCCCCCCTGAAGGCGTAGGGGCCTCAGATAATACCCCGCTTAACTCATTCCTGCCCGGTGATCTGCTTTCGGGCGAGTCCATATAAATGTTGAGCCGCAGTGGAAATCATGATATTGGCGCCCTTGGACACGGCACACCCACTTCTGAAGCAGACACGGCCACCTGGGGGCCAAGATGTGGATATATCTAAGTATATTAATAATTCTATAATTACTACTATCATACGAATAATGTCGATGATAACATAACGGGTGCATCGGTACCCCAGTGTTCTCACCTTCATAACAAACATAACAAAAATTAAAAAAAAAAATAGCAAACGTCCTTTGTGCCAGGTAAGCGGCCAAGGCCAACTGACGTTGTCCAGTGTCTTTTTATCATCCAGTGAGAGAAATCTTCAAAAAATGGAAAGATCCAGACATGAAGTAAGTCAGCAAGGTGAAGTGGTGACGATTATCATGACGGTGACCATAATAAATATTAACCAGATAAATGCCTACTTATGTTACAACTAGCATCGATGTCGATTATAGCCAGTATAGTGGTCCGATACGCCGCCAGGCTAACTGAGCCTCGCCGTAGTGTAAGTCTCCTAGCAAATTCGATAAAAGATGCCGAACAATCTGGCGTCACTAGAATCGATGGTCATACCACCAGGTGAACAAACGCCTAGAACGAATAAAGTATGATTCGTTCGATTAATACATCAATGTGAAAAAGCTATCTGTTCGATGATTTGCGACAACCTGTGAATTGAGAAGACAATTTGGGACATGTCAATCGTGGGATATCTCACATAGAATATAGGCGAAACAACTATATTTGCCGAAAGCAAGTAGCCGGCAGCTGCCAGGTATCAATTGCAACCAAGTGAAATGAAAGCTAAAATGCAGGTGAAAGTGAGTGGGTGACCTGCGATGTTGCTAAGAGTGAAAGAACCGTAAAGCAAACGGTTAGTCAACCGCAATCTATGTATTTAACTAACAATCATTAATCAAGACTCAAGAGTGACATCAATCAAGTAATCTGTAAAGAAACACAAGGTATTCTTATTGCGGTCAGTGATTGCGACTGATCATTTTACAAGAGACAATTGTGACTGATTGATCTACAGGCCACTCAACATCAAGGAAATTATGAAAATAGAAGGAACCAATCGCCTGTTATCCGAATTCCCTCCCTGTGAATTGCGCCCCATTGTGCATCGATTTGCTGCTCTACGTATCGGAGTGAGAAGACGCATTAACTACTACCGTTATCACTACTACCGATATTATGGCTGATTAATTAGTTATTTGGTGTACAGTACTGAAACGGGCGCACTGCTCATCAACGTGTAAAACAGAATACTAGCGAGAACAGCCATACTTCGTTGCCTTTACCATTATCTCGCGCCTATTACCTTAGTCTGACAAAGGCAACATATATTTGCCAGCCGTATTGTATTGTATTCGGCAAGACCAAGCGGAAAACGGTCCAGCCGGGGCTCGTTTCGTCTGCAATTTCGCCTACACAAGTGAACCAAAAGAACGACGTAATTTCGTCGCTAACGTTCTCCTCTTCATTCGGCTGTTTACAGTACGAGCGAATAACGGAGACAATTGAATATACCTTCTATATTTGAGTATCCAAAACACAGTGCTAATGTTAATGAATACTAAGATGATACGCACGCATACTGTAGTGTTCACATTACTGTGAATACTACTGCTGCTAATAATAATAATTTTATTATTATTATAAATTGCGTCAGACTGCTCGTCAGTTTGCAGTCATCAGTGGCCACCTATTATAAAAACAGCAGCAATGTGTTACCAACAAACACTATGGGATGATAACTACATCACAACAACATTACCACGACAATTATCGGATCCGATCTCGCCAGTATTGAGGTGATTAAAACCAGTAACTTCAGCAACAGGTTCGCTATCGACAACAGTAACAACAATATATAATTCTGCAAGCAATGAGCTGGACTAGCCGGACTAGAATAGAAGAAAGAAGAACAAAAACAAAAGTTTGAGCTGTCAGCACTCTCTAGTACACTGAAGCACGCAACTTCGCAATGGCGTTCGCAGCGTCATGTGGAATAGATGAATGCAGCAATGAGCATGGAACGATCCGTACAAAATCATCGGTAGTGAAGCCAAGTACTGCAGCGAAGATGGAACGGCAGCTGGGTCAATCAACAGAAGAAAAAAACTTCAAATTAAGTTTTAAATGAATTCACCAACCTACCAATCTCTACGAAGTAACATTAACTGCAACAAGAAAGCAAGCAAGTAGCTAGATCTACTGTAGATAGGCGTATGACATGCACGAGACATGATGATACGACAGATGATGCTGTTTATGGGTGTAGTTAGAATGACGCGGTCACTTTGATAATGGCCCTTAGTGATGTTCGTTTGGTAACTGTTGGCAAACGAAGTCGAAATGTGTCTTTAATTGTGCATCGATACGCACCAGTACGTTATGAAACAGAAACACCTACAACAAAACAGCAACTACAGACGCGATAAAACTAAGGGATAATAACCACCAAGGTACAGAGACACGCATCAAAAAGCACGAACATACCAAAATGATGACCAGTGAAGTCAAATCTACTAGGTTTAGTACACCGCCCCTCCGATAGATCGAAAAGGACACAGCAGCACACACTCATATGTATACGATTGACAGCAGCAGCAAGCGATGACAAATAAACAAGAAATCAGTCTTGTACGGGTACTACGACTAAGTGATTAATTCTACGATATTCCAATACTAAGTCTAATAATAATATTGTTGATGATTGTGAGGAGATAAACTGATTAGTCAATAACCGAAGTGAATAAACAGACGAATATTTACGGTACTATCTATACACACACAAATACACATACATATGTATATATATATATATATATATATATATATATATATATATATTGAAGGTATATATAGACGATTACTTATTATTAAATAATATTATTACTATTACTATAATATGATTAGCAAACGGTATATATATATAATATGAGCAGACCGGTAACAAAAGTGGTGATCAAGACGAGCAGCACAAACGTGTTAGATAACAGCAAATAAAACAGACAACATATAGACAACAATTATA